ACTAACTACTACACACACACACACACACACACACACACACACACACACACACACACACACACACACACACACACACACACACACACACACTCTCTTACCAGCCACCACTTGTAGCTCTCTTCTGGAATGAAGGTGTTCCGAGTGGTGAGGAAAGGCTGAATAGTCTGATTAAACCTCTCATCGAACCAGAAGGAAAGTCCCAGCTCGGGAACACATGAATTACAGCTGCATGGTCTCTCGGGGTAATTCATTAGTTTTTTTAACTGCATGACAATCTGCTTGGGATCCCAGGTGACCATCACCGAACTGTGAGTGTAATTCAGCAAGAACGACGTTATCGTGATGACAAACAATAAGACAAGCGTAAACATTTTCAGATTTTTCTTCTTGATGGCGACCATCTTTCCTTTGGGGTTCCTTCGTAAGGCTGTCAGCCCGTGACTCAGTGACTGTGGTAAGGCAAAGACAAAGGTTGTCGCAGGTTCACAGGGTTTTTTTCTGATCAGGTGTTTAGGCCAAACAAAGCAATTCAGTTATCTTCACTGGCAAGGGGAGAGCCTTCGTTTTACCCTTGGTGATTTAAAGAAGAAAAATTGGATTGTCCTTTTTTCCCCCCTTTTAAAAATGATCCCAAATCTCGCTCTTCAACTCGCCTGGAAGCTGCTAATTTCTCTCACTGAGCATTTAATCAAAACTGATAACGATGATTTCCTTTACCCATTCAGGAAGATTGAGAGGTAATTAATATCAGTGTCAGAGACTAGGTTTCCTGCATGAGAGTAAAACTTGAATGACAGGAGCTAGATAAAAGAAGATTGCTTTTTCCTTAAAATTATTTAATTAATGTGACCATTAAGATCATCCTGTGGCCTCGGTCCCAGGTGATACAGGCGCCTTGATGCTCATTTAAGTCATAGAGAGTCACTTGCCATCTGCAGAAACACAAAAGGAAGAAAGAAAAAAAACAGTCAGAGATGTTTGAGTTCCTTCCAGCTCAGTTTCTGTTTTACTTTCCCTGCCCCCTGGCTTCAGATCATCTCAAGAACCACAGTAATAAAGTCGGCTTCTGTCGCAGGACTTGCACTCTGAGAAGTTTCATAGCAGCCTCTCCAGAGGGAGGACTCAGGGGCCTATAGAAATCAAATCACTGTCTGTTGATTTAACGGTTATGGAGCTAAGGCCCTTTTAAATTACCCTTTGCAGACACCACACGGAATCAGCTCGTCTCCTTAGACTGATCTTGATACCTGCCAGTTACACAGAGTATTTATAACTAAGAATAACTGAACAAGAAAGCAGAGGGCAGAAGGGAGAGGGAGAGACACACAAATACATACAACCGCACCCACAAGTTAGTGGACCATATGATTTACAGAGCCCCAAGAAACAACAGGTCCTAAGCCCTCAGAAAGGGAAATCAGCCCAGAAGCTCGCTCTGTTCTAGATACGCTTTTGAAAGGGTTAAGGAGCTTTGGAGGGGTATTTCTTCCTACTTCTACTATCAATGCCAGAGAAGAGGATAGGGCCAGCCCCGACCTAAAATGTTTTCATGGGATGTTGGGTGTCCCCCAGGGCAAGACCCCAAACTTTTTCCTTGCTGTGCTCTTTGCCACACGCAGAAATCAACGGGAGTTAGGTGCCTAAATACCTCTGAGGATATGGGCTCCAAAGACTAAGGCCTGGTCTACATTTAAAGCTTATACTGGCACACCTGTGGTAGTCAGGGGTGTGGTTGGAATTTTGAATTGGTTGGGGGCCGGAAAGTGCCATTGTTTAAATAAAAAGCAACAAAGAGTCCTGTGGCACCTTATAGACTAACAGACATATATTGGAGCATAAGCTTCGTGGGTGAATACCCACTTCGTCAGATGCATGTGGTGGAAATTTCCAGAGGCAGGTATAAATATGCA